CCGGGCGGCCACTGCTCCCAACAATCATATCCGGTACAGGCAGGACAGAATAGACGGTAGGCTTGGTGGTGGGGTACTACTACTGGTAAGCTCAGAATACCGCCAGTGGGAAGCTCCGTTTACCTTAGCCACACCGAACATACGGGCCTTGTCCTGCTATATCCGACTGGGGGGTAGACCGGTGGGAGTGCTCTGTGTTTACAGGGTGCCACAGTCTAATACGGCAGAGGATTCTGCATTAGTGGCACTCCTAGGTAACATAGTGAGGGAATCATCGCGATTCCTCATAATGGGTGACTTTAATCTACCAGAAATAGACCGGGACAACGAAAGCGCGCCAAGGGGTACCACTGGTATTGAACACTTGGACTGGGTGCACCAACATGGACTAACTCAGCACGGCAAAATACCCACATGATTCAGAGGTGGCCATCGTTCGTCAAAGTTACACTTAGTTATAACTAGGTGCAGAACGGACCTAACTTCTCTTATGTCGGAAGAACCGTTAGGAAAGAGTGACCATGGGGTACTGCGAGACACGATGGACCGAATGATAAGCTAGTAAGAAACTACGCCAGGATCGAAGAAGAGCAATAAGGGTAGCTGCTTAGAGCATAAGCTGGCTTCACTTGCACCATCAGTCAAAGAATGATGGGTGGCAATACGAGAAGGGTTGCTACGGTTAACGCAAGAGTTTGCTCGCTTGGTGCTTTGCAGATCCAGAAACAGACCACCTTGATGGTCGCCTAGAATAGAAAGAGCGCTCACATCGCATAGAAGATGCTGAGCTTTCTGCAGGCTTCACGGAACGCATAGTTCTTGGGTCAACTACAAGCTGGTCAGAAATAAAACACAGACGATGCAGAGGGAAGCTAAGTATGAGTAGGAAAGAAACTAGCTAGAGACATCAAAACTAACCCAAAGAGGTTTTCTGCCTATGTACAGTCGAAGGGACCCACACGTGAAAGTGTTGGAACCTTGGAGATGGCTAATGGTAACATAGCTAGTACAGACAAGGACCGGGCTGAGACGCTGATGGACTACTTCAAAAGTGTCTATCGTTCATCCCCGGATGATGGAGATCGGATCCCCCTGGTAGATACCATTGGAAACGAACTGCAGGTGTTACTCGTGGGTGAGAAGGAGGTACGAACCGAGCTCAT